ATATTATTATCATCATTATTATCATCATTATTATCATTATCATTATCGTTATCATTATCATTATTATTATCATTATTATTATTGCTTCCAGCAATGTCTAAGATCTTTGAACATCTTATTCATCAACAATTGACAGTTCACTTAGAGAAGATTCTTCATAATTCTATATTTGGATACAGAAAATATCATGGGTGCCCGACGGCACTCCTTGCACTCACTGAACAGTGGAAGGAAGATCTTGATAATCATAACATTATTGGCACAGTAGCCATTGATTTAAGTAAGGCCTTTGACTGTCTACCACATGACTTAATTCTGGAAAAACTTAAATTCTATGGCTTAGGTGATCAAGCGCTATCTTTAATGCGAAGCTACCTCTCTTCTCGCCATCAAAGAGTGAAGCTCGCCACCGCCTTCACCACGTGGCAAGGGGTGTTAAAAGGAGTCCCTCAAGGCTCTGTCTTGGGACCTACATTGTTTAATATTTTTATAAATGATTTGGCGTACGCAATAAAATGATGCAGGATTCAGTATTAATTATGCGGATGATACAAATATCCATTGTTCCAATCAGAACGTACGTGCCGTTCAAGACAACCTAAATAGTGATCTTGAGAACGCAACTACATGGTTTATTCAAAATGGCATGAGACCAAATCCGGAAAAGTACCAGGCTATGGTCCTTGGCAGAACAGAAGATAAGCTACTCCTTCAATCGGGTAAAATTTATATCAGAACCGCAGAAAATACTAACCTCTTGGGAGTTGTACTCGATAGTAAACTTAAATTGACGATCAAGTTTCGAGTATTTGCAGCAAAGCCAGTGCTCAAATAAACGCGCTTAATAGACTGCAAAATATTTTACCCCTTAAAACCAAGGAATCGTTATATCGTTCGTTCATACTACCGAATTTGTATTACTGCAATCAAGTTTAGCACCATTGCGGAAAAAGAAACACTGCAAAAATCGAAAAAGTCAATGAAAGAGCGTTGCGATATGTCTATAATGATAAACATGCATCTTATCAGCATCTCTTGGAAAAGATAAGACTACCCTCCATGGAATCTCGAAGAATTCGGGACATGTTACTGACAATACATAAAAGCATATCGAACAAAGCACCACGGGCAATTAGGAATCTTATTAACTTACGCTCATTTAAGTAAAATCTCAGGCGCCAAGATTATGTTTTATCTTTACCTAAAGTTAACACTACCAAATATGGACTCAAGTCATGGAGATATTTTGCACCCAAGAAATGGAATGCACTCTCAAATGACATTACAATAAAAGCGGGCACCAAAGAAATTGTAAACAGAATTAGATCGTTAAATTTCGAGGATTACTAGATTTGTAAGGTTAGTTTTAATAGTAGTTTGATTGCGGCGGTAATATTGTAATAACAGTTTTAAATAGCTTTTAATCAGTATTTAATTTATGATTTTACCCGCTGTGATATTAGCGTTGTTAGTTGTTAGGTTTTCATTAGGTATTAAGTGGAATACCTGTAAACTAGCTCTTAAGCTAAGCGTATTTCCACGTTAAATAAAGTATGTATGCATGTATGTATGTATCTTGAGTAGTGCGTCAACGATAAAGTCGAGGAATGGGTAGGGCAAGTGACAAAATTGGCGGAGTTTGCTATGTCGCAGCCCCAGCTGGCTTGCTACCCAGCGTTCGCTTTTCGATTAAAACACCCCTGGACGTACTTTCTGAGAACTCTGCCTGACATAGACTCGCACCTCTGGAGCGTGCAATAGCTGATGCCCTAATACCGTCTATTACAGGTCATAAATGTACACAAGCTGAACACGAGCTGCTGGCGCTGCCAGCGAGAATGGGAGGCATGGGCCTAATAAATCCAAGTCAAGTAGCAGCCGTAGAGTATGTAGCATCGGCTAATATCGGTGGTCCATTAGCCCAACAAATAGAATCACAGGCGCGTGAGCCACCAGACGAAAATGAAATACACGCTGTGCAACGGGAAATGCGCCAAATAAAAAATCAGTATCTGAAGTAAAAACGTGATGACGCGAAGCGCTTGATTTGTGGAAAAACTTTAAGAGCTGTGGACCTTGCCACTCAGAAGAGTGCTTCCAGTTGGCTTACTGTTTTGCCAATTAAAGATATGAATTTTAAATTTAAACAAGAGTGAGTTTCGAGACACTGTGAAACTCAGGCAACGACTGACAAGTTCCTGATACGCCCTCTCTCTGTGTTTGCGGGAACATCTTCATTTTTGATCATGATATGATATGCAAACGGGGCGAATTTATCATACGAATTTATCAGTTTTTCAGACATCACAAGAGAAGAGTTGAATAGGGAGCTTACACCGTCCCTAATGCACGACTGGATATAGTTGCTAGGTGATTCTAGGAGAGGCAGAGGTCGGCTTTTTTTGATGTGAGAATGTGCCACCCAAATGCAGACACCTATAGAGATATGTATCCAGAACAGATATTCAGGCAGCAAGAAGAAGAGAAGAAGCGTCAGTACGCAAGCCGCGTGTTAGAAGTAGAGCAAGCTACATTCACGCCATTAGTTTTTAGCATGACAGGCGGAATGGCGATGGAATGTGAACGATACCATAGTAGACTTGCTGAGCTACTTGCTACAAGAAGGGCGAAAGCTATGCGACTACCATGTGATGGATCAGGGCAAGAGTGTCCTTTGCGCTGCTGAGATCAGCATTACTTTGCTCTTAAGTGAATTCTCCTAGAAACTCGCGAGCCTCGTAAAAGAAGTTTCCAGCCTAGTTTTTTTGTCAGATTTTTTTGAAAGCTAAGTTACTATCTTGTTTTCTTCTTATATATTTGATTGTTATGTAAATAGGTTTTAACTTTATTGCTATTAGTATTATTATTATTATTATTATTATTATTATCATCAATTAAAAAAAATTATTGTTATCAGTATTATTTGTTGTTTTTATCCCCATTTAAGCCAATGAAACGAGAATGAAACCGGATGTATAAAAGAATTATCTGGATGCATACAACTATTTAA